TTCTGGAGTCTAATCTGAATTTGAGTTTGTGGCCCTGTTCCAAAAGAGGTAAGATACAAAGCCCAGCCATAGATTGTGTTCATGTCCTTCTCTCAAGTAAAGGTTATTCTTTAATCCAGAAGCGTTCTGTCCTTGCTGTTGCAGCTCAGTGAACTCTCGTGTATCAGATAGTGTGTGTCTTTGCTGGGCACCAAAGTCTCATGAAATATATTTCCTTTGGGGGGGAAAAAATCTGTTATCAAAAAGACACCTTGCTGAACATCTCAGATGTTATTTTCGTACTTATGGAAAAGTGACCTGCTATCACAAATATGTCAGGTTTATTGCTGATAGCAAAGCTCCTTAATACTTTTTATACATATGTGTTCTGAAGAAATGCATAGTTTTTTTTCCTTCATTTTGCGTAACTTTTTTAGCCTGCGTTCTCATCGCTTGGTTTTTGAGGATGTTTATAAAGATGCTACCAGCATAAAGACATAAGCAATTAGATGACCAGCTTCCCAGTAAGATATCCATATTTATGCTTAAGTGCTACTTTTATATACCCTTTTTCTGAGATTATTCAGAGAAGTATATCCCCTTTTCAGAGCTGAAAAGAACAATTCCAGTGTCTTCCTATGGCCTGGTACTTGCTGTTTAGTAAGAGACTGGTGTGAGGAGAATCATTACAATAGCTTAAAACTTGACCGTGTTAAATATGTACTTACTGAAGATTGTCTCTTGAATTTGTTGTCAGGTGTTTGTATGTAAAAAGCATCGCATTAGTTACGTGTTTCCAGTGTAAAGTGTCACTGTGTGCCGGCAGTAGAGCAGATATGGGTCGGTACAGAGAAGGGCTACGAGGCATAAACAGGAAATTCATGAGGTAAATGTGCCACAAAGTATATTAAGTTAGAGCAAAAGCGACAAGGATTTAGAGAGATGATGAGCTATGTCACTGAGGGTATGGGATAGATTTGGGGATAAGTTAATGATGACACTTTGGGGTTGTATCATGGGTTGTATCACAAGCTGAAATAGCTGAATAGCTGCACTTTTCCAGAGTTGTGTGCACTGTGTTACGTATGTCCCAGATTGCCGAGATTGGGCATATCTCTTTGTAATTACAGATAGCAAAAGTTGAGTCTGTCAGGGCTAAATTGGAATTGTAGTTGGTGGACTGGTTCTTCTGAATACTTGCTACTCTGGGAGTTCTTACACGTGTTATGGCGGCTGAGAAAGTTGAGCCTTGAAGCCCTGGTACCTTTCCTTGTACAGAGGTAGGCTGTTGCTGGAGCTGAGCTAAAGGGTTTTCAGTATGGTTACTGCTTGATGTAGTTATTGCAGTAGTTTTATTTGTTTGCTGTGAGGTTGTTTGCTAGACCAGTCACTGAGAAGAAGTTGAAACGAGCCACAGTTTACTTATTAAATGGCTGTGTAGTTTGGATTGCATGTATCTGTAGTAAAAAGTAGGTTACTCACCTAAATTAGGCGTGATTATCTCTAGACATTATCTGATGGATGTTTATCTGTCAGCAATGAATGGTCCAAATTGCCCATGGAATTGGGTGCAGTAGTAGGTTTGCCCACTTGGTTTACTTAAAATTTTTGCAGTTATTGAAGTTAATGTTTACTCTGTAACCTTTTAATGAGACTACAGTCCTGTGATTTTGATTTGCCATCAATGCTGTGCTTTCCAGGTAGGATTTAAATCCATCGTATGTAAGCGCTGCGGGATTATTATTCTAGTGTGCAATATCTGCTAGTGTCCCTACAGCTATTGACTTATCAGTATGCAATCAGAAATTTTGAAATAAGAGCATTCTCTTTACTGTGTTGTAACTGAAATGTGAGGAATCTTAGGAACTGTCCGTTGTATAGCTTGAAGGAAAAAGCGACCAAAAAAGATTTAGGCTTTGACAGCTGATGGATTTTCAGCCTGTATATAAATTCTTGTCTGTATATCTGTTTTAAAAAAAAAAAAATCAGATTTTTTTTTTCCTACCACAAAGTTTTCCCTTTCTTCCTGAAAAAATAGCAGGGAAAAGGACTGTGCTTAACCCTGGGACTGTGCTTAACCCTGAAGGGCCCTTTTTAAAATTTTTTATTTCATTGACAGTGCAGTCATGATACAATAGTTGTATTGTATCATTCATCTTCCTAATGCCCTTGGTAACCTTCTTCCAGTAAACTTAGAGAAGGGAGATTTGCTGTTGCAGTGGATCTTCTTTAGCCCCATTAGAAAACTAAAAATATCTTAGGCACAGTCATTTTACAAGACCATCTTTCCAGTGACGATGAGTTTGTAATGTAACTTCTTCAAAAGTTGTTGGTTTTTTTTTTTATTCCAATAATGTACCTGCATTTTGGGCCTACATTTCGTTAACAATGAGGTGCAGGTCAGATGAGACATTCTCAACCTGAGAATTTCAAATAACACCTAAGAGTAGAACGGCATCGGATTAGGTTTAATATAATCACCTGTGCAAACAGATGACATTTTACATGAAACATTGAATAATTTAGTTTTATCTTCCAATGCTAGATAAAGGTTTTTAAACAGTCAAAGTAAAAACTGTTGCTTGGCATATTAGAGATTAAAGTGTCATGCTTTGTCCTGGAGGTTTGTGCTTTAAGTATACAACAAAGACTCAATGTAAATTTAGTTAGGACAGGCATTGAAGCAAATAAATTAATGGTCTAGAGGAAAGCTGTGAGCATCTCAGTGGGGATGCTTAGCTCTTCATAAAGTCTAAGTGCTTTTCAAACATTGATCCTCTTCCCCTTGAAGGGGACCAAGGCGGGGGATAATGGTGTAGGCAGCTGGAGAGGAGAACAACATGCAGGGGAGATGAAAGGGGAGGGAGAAATCGCATGAGAGTGACTAAATCTATTATTCTCGCAAAAGGTGAACTGTGGTGGCACTTCCACATAAACCGGTAACTGATACAATAAACACTGAAATTTTGCACAGAATTGCATTTAGGATTAGGGAACTGACTGAACAAATCATGTCCCTGTTTTGTCAATGAATTCTCTGTTAACAATTTCAAATGATTACTCTGACTTTAATATTTCACCTGCAGAGGCTTAGCATGTCTTCTGTTGCTTGTCATCTTCGACTCAGAGAATGGGTGGGTGACATCGCAAGTTAATGCGATACACTCAACCTGTCGTCTTGTGTGCTTCTACTTAGCTTCCACAAAATGCCATGTCAATGACAACTTAATGATTGTGGATTTCACAATATTGTGAAAACTTGTTTAACAAAAGTATAAAAGCTTATTTATAAAGCAAAACAGAAAGCAGTCAGTAGCTTCATGCAGTTATATGTGCATAATAAGCATTTGCATTACCTTTTAGGCTTGCAATAGAATATATGAGTTTGTCTGAATAAGACAAGAAGCTTCTCATTTTCAGGGGAAGTCTGCATTGGTATAATTCCCCTTGAATTGGGAAAATTGGAAAATGTATACTGAAGAACTCCAGCAGTAATGGTGTATTTGGAATATTTGTTTGTAACAAGCTAGTTTCAGAAGCTTTCCTTTAGAAGTAAGCAGCTTCGTATTTTCTATACCTGTTAAATGTCAGAATCCTTACATTACTCTCAAAATATATTAATTTAAATTAACCTTCCAAATAAGAGTGAAGCTTCCATGTCACAAAGCTTATTTTAAATACTAGAAAATAAAACAACTGAAGAAATAAGCCTAGATACTTCTTTAGCCAACTTTAATCAGACACAAATTTGAAATTCTTACTCCAAGCTAGTCATTTTATCCTGTACTATATAAAACAAAGCAAGAAGATCTTCCTTGATCGCGTATTGGGGATTTAATTGCCAGGCAGATGTTATAGTTTGCAGCAGTAGCACTGGGTGAGAGAACGGCAATGGCAGTCAATGTTGTTGTGCAGAACAGGGGTCCCAACTTAATTTGCCAGAAACCAGTGCAGCAGCGCTTTCTGTGCAGCATGCACGTGGTCACTAACTTTTCCAGTCAGAAATTCAGGCCCACACCTCTTCAGTTCTCTTCCCCAAAGAGAAATCTAACTCAAGGTTTTGTGCTGCAGTCTGGCTCCAAATGCCATGTGGTGATTTCCAAAAGTTAACTGCTAAAATTTTCAAGCTTTGAAGTACCTGGTTTTCTAAATAAAATAAGTTCCTCCTCTTCTTCTTTCATTATGAAAAAGGAAATCTTCTACACTTTTAAAACTACTGATGCTCTCTTACTTTGCACAGTCTGTGTTGGATTTGAGCATTATGTCCTTATGAAAAGGAAGGAATGTGATTCAAGATGACGGAACATTTGTATTGTAAAACTAAGCGTGGTTAGAACGGCTTATGCTAGCATTTCAGTCCTTATACTGATTTGTATATCGTAAGTCGTATGGTAATTATTTGCCTGTATGGTGGAATTCCAGCAAGGAGAACTTTCTAAGAGCATATTCCCTTTGGATAGTTGGGGGCCATTTTATTTTATATACAGATTCTGGAATTAGTGTCGTCTTTATTTTAAATTGGCCATAGCTTGGTCTAATAATTAGAGTTAAAACAATTATTTTCCCATCTTACCTTACAATTGTAAAAATAGTGCTAGGCATGCATGCTTGTTATTAATGACCTGCTACCAAAAACCTTGCTGTAAGCTCTGAAGACAGTCAAGTAAGATTATTATTTTTTGCATATTCTGTCTCTTAGTCATACAGGAGTGGCAAACAGGAAAAATAAGTAGGTCTTTGGATACGTTAGTTTGTAATGCTAAAATCTGGATATCCAACTCATCTTAAAAAACAATGAACAAGACATATAATGTTACTTCAAACTAAAAAACTCTAACCAGTGTTTCTTCTTTGATAGCTTAATCTAAATGTCTTTTCCTCTTGATCAGAAGCTTGTTTGTTCTAAGTACTTGCAGCATATTTCAAAGTACTACTATCTATGTATATTATTGGTGCTTAACACTATTTTCCTGGTGAAGCAAGAGCGCTCTACTAATCAGTTTGTTGATGATGTCTTTTCAGATTACATCAGATATGACTATGTGAATAGCCTAGGATAGCCCAAAGGAAGGACATGATGTCAGAATAACGTACCAAACATTTGTGAGGTATGTGGGGTTTTTTCTGTTGTGCTAAAAAATTTCTTGGTTGTCTTTTAATACAGTTAAACAAAATGAATACAGTAATTTTATGCCATTTCATTTGTATGCTAAAGGAGCTGCTTGCAGAATTGATCTAAAATTCACATTTGCCGTGACATACACAAATACTGATTTTATTTTTTTTTTCAGAATCTTGATGTCTGTTCTGATTTAAGGTAACTTGTTGATTTGAGCAGCTGAAAACTTGCCTTGATTGAAAAATAATTGTATATTTTTTCTTCTGAGGTATTGCACCTTAGCTGGAAGGAATTCTAAATTTGTGTTCTATAGGAAGTTTCAGAATTGAGAAGTTGGTTTTGATTCATTGAGTTCTCTCAAACACTTCAAAACATCTACGCAGCAGGAGGTCTTGAAGGATTGGGGTTCCTAAACAATCCTTTGGTGGGGGCAAAAAAAAGTCATTTTGTTTGGAAAAAATGTTGCAAATTACTTATGTATTGACTTTTTAAAACAAAAAGATAAAATTGGGGGGGGGTGGGGTGGAAAAAAGCTAGTGCTTTTGCCATCGTGAATTTGGTTGAATTTACCCGAAATTTGAGTTAACAAAAACAGAATTTGCCAGTGAAGAAATATTTTTACAAAATACTAACGTGAATGCACTGTATTTGACTGTTTCTGCAGTACTGCCACTTACCTCTTTAGAAGAAGTTTGGCTCTTAGAGCATTTGTTGGGTATTTTGTGTGCGTGATAACTTTGCTTGGCTGTCAGCTCCTCGTACACTTCAAGGCTTAGTTGAAAGTTTATTGTACATACTTTTTTGTGGGTCCTTTTTTTTATGAGAGAAAAAGTTAGACAATAACACTTCTTAAAAGTTTTATCTGCCCATTTTTGATGAAATAATAGCTGATTTGCCTAGTTATCTTCATGTTCCATCTGCTAATTAGGTAGGCTTCATGAAACTTGACTTTTCTTTTACAAGTCTTGACCACAAGGGGTGGTTGATGTCCCAAAGTGCTGTTGAAATTAATTGGCACAGGTTGTAATTTTAACTGTAAACATTTGGCAAGATTAGAATCACTTAAAGTGGCTGAAAAGAGGGCATTATCTAGGTTAAGTTAAGCTTGAATTGCCTTTAAGGGAGGTAAAGTTCTTTTCTAAGGTATTTTTCTAGTATGTGACTACTTTCATCCATGGCTTAGTAGCCGCATTCTGGTAAGAGAGGGGACTGTTGTACAAAAAAAACCCACAAAACAATGAAAAACCCTAACATGTGGATAGAAAACACAGTGTAACTACTAGAAATTGTAATATTGCATTGTTGGCAACTAAATCTAAGCACCAGAGCTGTATTTCAGTTTGTTCTGTTTCACAACCAGAGAATGTAGCCCACGCTTAACTGTGTCCTACGAGTATCTCAGCTAGCTATTTTAACTGTTGCTCTGGGATCTCTACACTGCAATTTGCATATACTTGTTTTCCTTTCTAGTCTCTTGGATTATTCCTGCCTAGTTCTAGCATTAAGGCTTAAGAATCAGAAAGATTTACTGGGCAGAATGTGTTTATCTGATTCCTGGTAGATAGGATTGAGAGTTTTTTAAAGGGTTTAGAAATACATAGCTTCATCCGAAAACGATCTCAGTGTGAGTCTCTTTACCTGGTAAGGGTCACTTTGATCATTTTAGACTAACAAAGTCATCCTATATTCAAGGTCTCAGGATGTAAACGGGAGTGCCATAATTCCTACCAGTCATATACAGGCTACCATTAACAAGGGGGAAAAACAGAGACTTCTGCGTGACTGTCATCAGTCAATATAATGCTTTCAAGTTTATCTCAGACATGGCCTTTAATAGCATGAATCAATATGATTTTTAGAATACAGTATACTTTTAAAGTAGCGGGCTATTCTTGATGCATAATGTTTAAGCTTTCATTTGTCTCCTGTTTGTTGATAGCACTGCAGTTCTGCCATTCCCTATCTTTGCTTGTTAGAGATACCTGGAAAATAATTCTGGTTTTCTGAAAACTATTAAGGTTTCAAGTCTTGTTTTTGTTCCACATTGGTACAAGAACAAAGCCCTAAAAGAGTTTTCATTAAATTAAATCAATTAATGTGTTCTTTGAAAATCTGGTTCATGTAATCCATTGCCATGCTAATTTAACCACGACCATTTGTTGCCCTTGTTGGTCTGATCTGAGACCATTATGTAAGTTATCCAATATATCTTTATAACAGGTTTGGGTTTTTTGCAACATAATAGCTGTTTTGTCAACAAATTTAGTTGCTTTCTAACTTGCTCTGGTTTTTGTTGTGAATAACGTACTACAACAGCTTTACTTCCATTCTGTTTTTTCCTTCCGCTCTTC